TGAAATCCTGTCTCTACTAAAAATACAAAAATTAACCATGTGTGGTGCTGCATGCCTGTAATCCCAGCTACTCGGGAGGCTGAGGCAGGAGAATCGCTTGAACCTGGGAGGTGGAGGTTGCAGTGAGCTGAGCTCTCCACACTGCGCTCCTGTCTCAGAAACAAAAAAAGGTGAGGAAACTGAAGCCCAGAGAGGTTAAGGGAGGAGTTCCTGCCTACCAGGAACCTGCTTTAATGGGGGATGCTGAGGAAGACAATAAACGTAGTTCAGGCCAGGCGGGGTGGCTCAAGGCTGTAATCCCTAGCACTTTGGGAAGCTGAAATGGGACGATTACTTGAATCCAGGGATTTGAGACCAGCCTGGGTAACAAAGTGAGACTCTATCTCTACAAAACATTTTTTTTTTAAATTTTTTTTTTGAGATCAAGTTTTGTTCTTGTTGCCCAGGCTGGAGTGCAATGTCATGATCTTGGCTCACTGCAACCTCCGCCTCCCGGGTTCAACCAATTCTTCTGCTTCAGCCTCCTGAGTAACTGGGATTACAGGCGTGTGCCACCAAGCCCAGCTAATTTTTGTATTTTTAGTAGAGACAGGGTTTCACCATGTTGGTCAGGCTGGCCTTGAACTCCTGACCTCAGATGATCCGCCCTCCTCGGCCTCCCAAAGTACTGGGATTACAGGTGTGAGCCACCGTGCCTGGCCACAAAACATTTCCTTTTTAAATGTACACTTGTGGTCCCAGCTACTCTGGAGGCTAAGGTGCAAGGATCACTTGATCCTGGGAGGTCAAGGGTCAGTGGCCATCAGTGGGTCTCCCTCTGCTGTCTCCATCTCTTCCCATCTGCTATGGTCCCACTCCTGAATTCTCTCCTGCTTCCTCTTTCTCCTGCCTCTGGGTTTCCACTCTTTCTCCCAGGTTTCACTTCCCCAAGCCCAGTGATTCTCTTACTGGGAGGGAGGACAGTGTGACTGCTGTGATTCCTTTGCCTGTGGGCATGAGAGCTGTTGGCAGCACTGGGTCTCGATGCCAGGGTCCTGGAGCCCTCCCAGCTCAGCCTAGGGGTAGAAATGTGGTGACTCCTCCAGCCCCAGGTCCAGAAGCACAGAGGGGTGAGGCAGAGGGAGGAGTGGGAAACAGGAGGAGTTCACTATGCAAGGACGTGCCAACAAGTGTACAGGTATAGAGATGCCGAGGCCTGGCCCCAAGAGGCAGTCACAAGCGTAGGACATAGTCACACGGCTGTCATCGATGCAGCCCTGGGAGGATGCGGCCCATGTACACATACAGACACACTCACACGGGGGGAAACGCGGATGGTGCCCACAAACATTCACCTCTCACAGCCGCTGTGAACACAGAGACTCCTGCAGGGCCCAGAACACGTGGGCTGTGTCATTTGGGCGGCAGCTGCAGCCCACATACACACAGATACAAATAGAGAGAGTGCCAGCCCATCGCATAAACACTGCCCAGCCTGGGAGCCTCAATGGGACACAACACGAGCGGAGACTTCAACGGGGACCTGGCGCAACACAGTAATACAAATATATTCCATAGGGTCATGGTCACAACCACCGTACACCAGACACTGATTCAAACAGTGTCATGCGCGCGCACACACATCGCAGCATCACAGCCCCAACAGGAAATGGATCCCCCAGCAGCTGCCTCCTCTCCCACGGGGTCACAGTCACAAACAGCCCCAGGGTGCCTGTCCACGGTCGGACCCGTCACAATCCCACCAGACACAGCCCACACGGAGGTTTGACACATCACAACCGCACAGACAGCAGGTTGGTCTTACCCACTTAGTCTGACATCCCACACCCTCCTCCACACACGCACAGCTCCAGCCCGGGGAGTCCCACAGGGCCCCACAGACTGCAGGCGACCCCGTCACGCCCAGATACACTGTCACACCCAGGGTCCCAGACGGAGCAGACACACCCCCAGGGTGGCAGACTCAGCCCTCACACGCCCAGCCCCAGCTCGTGCTTCAGTCTGAGGACAAGTGCTGGCTGCGCACTCGCGGTGTGGTCGGCCTGTCTGCCCCGCCCTCGTGACACACCCCGCCCACCTGCCCGGGGCTGCCGGCTGAGCTGGCACAGCCCCGCAGGGCGGGGAGGGGAAAGTGTGGGCTCAGCACCTTCCCCGGCCGCGTGCGGGCTGCCCCTGCCCTGCCACCCTGGCACCCAAGCCCGCTGGGTGGCTCGGCCCCCGTCGGAACAAGTCTGCCCTCCGCCTGTGGCCAACCACAGGGGCAGGGCAGGGGGTTCGGGATGCCCCGCGCCCTGTTCCTGCCCCACCCCCGCCTCTGCAGGCAGCGGGGGCCACAGAGGGAAGTCGTGGGGGGAGCCTGGGTTCCGGCTGGAGCCCCAGCTTCCTGTCCGGCCCCCGTGGGGCAGGAAGCCGCTGGGGGAGGCCAGCTCAGGCCTTCCTGCCCCCTCCCACAACAGGTCTGGGACCCGGGTCAGCGAAGGGGAGCGGGGAGGTGTGGGGAGGAGGTCGGCGAGAGAAAGCCCCTTCCCCCTCCTTCTCTGGACATGCAGAGTGTTTGAGGTTCCAGTGTGGATTTGTGTTAGGACCTTATTGTGTCTGTGTGATTGCGAGCTTTGTGGTTTGAGTTGTGTCTCAAATGGGGTGTTCTGGGGCCTGCATGCTGTGGTACGGACTGCCTCGTTTGTGTGTGTGTCTCCAGCACGTGTTAGCTCTGTGTGTTTGTGGCTGTGCTGCATTTCTGGGGTGTGCGTTTGCGTTTTGTATTTCTGCTGGGCAAGCTGTTGTATTTTCTGTGGGTTTTGTGCCCTGGCAGTGTTTGATTCTGCCAGTTCGCCATGTATCTGGGGCATATCGTGTGTCTGATACTTTTCTGAACATCTTCACACTTATTCTGGGTATAAATTTGTACATTTTTTAGTGTAAGTTTGACTTGAAATGTGGGTGTTTTCTGCATGTTAATCGATCTGTGAGAATGTTTTTTCCAGGGGTGTGTGTGTGTGATGGAGTCTTGCTCTGTTGCACAGGCTGGAGTGCAATGGCACAATCTCGGCTCACTGCAACCTTCGCCTCCTGGGCTCAAACGATTCTCCTGCCTCAGCTTCCTGAGCAGCTGGGATTACAGACACCCCCCATCATGGCCGGCTAATTTTTGTATTTTTAGTAGAGATGGGGTTTCACCATGTTGGCCAGCCTGTCTCGAACTCCTGACCTTGTGAGCTACCCACCTCAGCCTTCCAAAGTACTGGGGCTACAGACATGAGCTACCACACCCAGCTGTGTGTGTTCTTACATGAGGCTGGTGAGTTGTGAGTTGTTTTCTGGCTTGCATTGTGATCAGTGTCACTGGTATTCTGAGCATGTTTGTGTGTCTACGTGGTGTGTGTCCAGCATGCTTGCTGTGGTTCTTGGTGTATGTGTGTGTGAGGGAGGGCTGTACTTCCGGGTTGTGTGTGTCCATCTCAGGGACTGGTGTTCCCAGCCTGTGGGTGCTGTGAGCAGGTGCTGAGGTGGTGTCTGCATTCTGTGTTCCCACAGGAGAGCTGGCGACTGCAGTGTGTGGAGTTGTGTGCATCTGTTGTGCATCACCATTGAGGGCATTTCACATTCTCAACGGGGTGGATGTGTGTCTTGCAAGCAGCTGCGAGTGTGGGTCTTGGGTCTGCATTGTGTGCTGGGTGCGTCCATGAAGCTGCTGGCATCGTAAGTGGCCAGTGCCTGTTGGCCTCCATACCCAGCACAGGCTGTTTCTGCGGTGCATCCCCTTACCAGCTGGTGCCACGCTGGCTCGGAGCTGGCTGTGGCAGCAGGCAGGGCAGGGCAGGGGCTGTGGTGGGCATTGGACCCACGCCCAGTCTCGGTATAAATATCCCAGGCTGCCGTCGGCTGTGTTTGCTGTGTTTACTCGGTCTCAGGCCCCGGGGGCGGCAGCAGCCCAGCAGGTCCTGGGGGCGGGGGTGACCAGGCCACAGCACAGACATTTCCTTCTGGACAGACAGGCCCCGCAACCTCGCTGCCCCCTCCTGCGCCCTTTTTGGGTGGGCGAGAGGTGCTGACCTCTCATTCTGGGTTTCCAGGGGCTGCCAGTGAGGCTCCAACCTGGTTGTCCCAGCTGGGCTTCCCAGAGTGTGGGAGACAGAGGAGATGGGGCCTGGGGTGTGGGCCAAGACACAGCAGGGAGGGGAAAGGGCAAAGCGAGGGTAGAACAGAGCCCCCAGAGGGAGGCTCCAGCAGAGAAAGGGACAGGGAAATGAGGTGGCAGAAGCTGAGAATGGCTGGGGACAAGGAGTGGAAAAGGTGGGGAGGAGAGAGAGGGAGAGAGGGAGAGAGGGAGAGAGGGAGAGAGGGAGGGAGGGAGGGAGGGACAGAGAAGCATGTGAAAAACAAGGGAGGAGAGGGGGAGACGGAAAGTAACGGGGAGACACTGACAACTAGAACGAGAAGACAGCAGTGAGGGAGGAAGGCAGCGGGCAGGAAGGAAACGCAGAGAAGCAGGGAGAAGTGACTGTGGATAGAGGGACAGAGCGACAAGAGCTGGAGAGGGAGTGCAGGGAGGCAGCTGGCTCTGGCAGGACACACGGGGGGGTGGGGGAGGGGGAGGTGGCGGGGTGCCGGCCAGGCCAGTGCGCGCCAGGCCAGGGCCAGGACGGACAGGAGACACAGGGGTGGGGGCCGGATGCCCACCTAGGGGCTCTCTCCCAGCGGGGCCTGCCCTCCCTGACTCAGCCTTTCCGCCTACCCCGACCCCAGGAGAACTGGGAGGTGCCTGCCCTGGGGGCCCACCACCCCTAGGCAGTGACCAGGGGGTGGGTCTCCTGCCATCCCTGCCCCACTGTCTCCACCTCTCTTCCTGTCTCCCCTTCTAATCCCTGTCGCTGGCACCGGCTCCACCTCTGTCTGTCAACTAGACGCTCCCGTCTTGACCAGCTGACTAAACCTAATTCTGACTCAATTTCTGTGTCTCTCATCGCTTTTTAAAAACGGTCACAACAAATTTACATTACAGCAGAGTATAGCGTAAACAAATTTAATGACCAAATGATAGACTGGTCAAAAATGTGCCTGTCACCAAAGGCTGATACTCTTCCTGTGGTCCAGGCCCTCTGCTCTTACAAACGGGGCACAAATGCAGATACGTAAGAGACATACGGCTCTCATCTTGCACTCTTGGCTCTCCGAGGTGTGACCCTGAGGTCCCGGAGTCTGGCTGCTGGGTTATCTTGGGCCTGGCAACCGCTTCCTCCTCTGGGTGACAAAGGAGTGATATCTGTCCCTAGCACATAGCACAGCTGGGCCAACTCAGTGATTTGGAGACTGATCTCCACATGATGACCCGATCCTGTCTGTGTCCAGGACAGTGCCCAGCACGGGGCACTAGGCCTGCCGTCTGACCCTTCTCCAACCTTCCTTTGTGAGGGCGCCTGCGTGTGCACTTGTCCCTTCAACGCTGCCCAGCTCTGGACGGCCCCGACACCTGACCAGCCAGACAGCCCGGTCATCTCTAGGACCTTTGTGGCCCTAGGCCTGGGTTCGTGTGTCACGTCTGTCTCTGATGGCCGAGTGGCCTTGAGGAAGCAGCACCTTTCCGGGCCTCCCGTGACCCATTTCACTAGTTGGCTGGGCTGTGGCTCGGGCCTGAGAGGACAGAAGCGCTCCACAGGGGAGGCTTTCGTTCTTTAGTAGTTGCTCTGTCTGAACATCTGTCTCCCTCCATCCAGCTCTCACTTTCCCTGTCTGGCTCAAATTCTGGTTGACCCAGAGGGCACAGCTGAGGCTGGTGGACTCCCGGAGGTAGTTTTGAGGGTCCTTCAGGCTGAGCCATGGCAGGACGCCACCCTTCCATCACAGAGGCATGAGGAGTCCCCAGGCCCTGTCTTGCTGACCCTTGGCCTGTGCACCCCCTCAATAGTGGCCAGGCCCTTCTGTGTGTATGTCTGCTGGGGGAGCAGGAGCCGGGTGTGGGGGCATGGGAAGGCGGGACGCCTGGGTTCCCACAGGCCCGTGGCTGAGTCACCAGGCGGCCATCTGGCTCCCATTAGCCCAGGGCGGCAGGGGGCTCCATGGGGCGGGCCCTGCGGCCAGCTGGGGGCAGGGATGCTGGGGCAGGCTGTGTGTGGGATGACTCAGGACCCATGATAACAGCCTGTGCACATTTGGGGAGTGTAAACAGGAGAGGGAGAGGAAGGCGGAGGAAGGGAAAATTGTGGTTGGGCAGAGGGGGGCTGGTGGGGCTGAGGGGGTCGAGTCCCCCCTCCCTCTACACTCAAGCTGGCAGGCCCCGTGACCCCCAGCCTGGGTCCTTGGGAGTGATGAGAGCTGTGCCCCAGCCTTCCTTCCCCGGGGTCTCCTCCCTCCCCTGGGGCTGCATTACTCGGTGGTCAGCGTACTGCCTAGCCCATAGCAGCCAGGTTTGAGGGAAGAGGGAAGAAGGGGCCCAGAGCCTGGAGCAGGGGATTGAAATGCAGAGATAAAAGCTGAGAGACAGACAGGGACAGTGACAGCAGATGCCTAGAGAGGTGGAAATGTACCAGCAGAAAGAACAAGAGGCCCAAAGTGAGGCAGAAGGAAAGATGGGAACCTAACAGAAGCGAGGAGGCTCAGAGTGTGAAACAGAGTGCAGACATAAACAGAGAGGGGGAGACGGACGCACAGGAGGCGGCTGCACTGGGGCCCAGGGGTCAGCACAAGAACCAAACCGGCCACTTCCAGCTATGAAACGGCCTGCTAGCTGGCCTCCAGCAAGGGGAGACAGCCAGCCAGAGCATTGGCAAGAGGGAGCGGGGGCAGGGAGAGAGAGAAGCCCACAGGCAACGACAGAGGCAAGGGACGGGGTGGGAGAGAGGACAAAGGCAGGGAACCCCAGAAACAAGAGGGGGTGGGCTTGCCTGAGACGAGACTAGACCCAGCGAGATGGTGGTATGTGTGGGGCGATGGGTGCTGCCCTGATGTCTCCCTAGAGAAAGGGTCACTGAGCTGGCCTGGAATCAGTTGCCTTGTTGGGGTCGAGGATGGGGCAGGCGGTGAGAAGGGTGGCAGCCATCAGTCCCCTTCCAGCTCTGGGCTGGGTGCATCCTCAGGCTCCTCCTCATCGAAGTACCTCTCCTCCTCATCCCGTGCCACGATGTCCAGGTTGTCGAAGTCGGGGTTGTCGTCTACTGCGCTGCAGGGGGAGGAGGCTGTCAAGGACTGGGTCTTCCTGGGACCCTAGGATGCCCGGGTCAAGGGCCTGGGGCACTCTGATGTCAAAGGCCATGCGCTGGCAGCTGTCAGAGCTGACCCTCCGATGGGGACGGTGGGCCTCTCAGGGTTTAAAACTAAAAGAAACCGTTTCCAAATCAGAGTTTGCACAAAAACTCCTGGCTGGGCATGATGGCTCATACCTGCAAGCTAGCACTATGAGAGGCCAAGGCAGGAGGATGGCTTGAGCCCAGCAGTTGGAGCCCTGGGCAACACAGGGAGACCCTGTCTCTACAAAAAAATGGAAAAAGTAGCCAGGTGTGGTGGCAAGCACCTGTAGTCCCAGCTTACTCAGGAGGCTGAGGCAGGAGGCTCGCTTCAGGCCAGGAGGTCAAGGCTACGGTGAGCTATGATGAAACCACAACATTCCACCCTGGGTGACAAAGACCCTATCTTAAAAAACAAAACAAAACAAAACAAAACAAAAAACCCAAAACTAGTTTTTCTTAAAAAGTTGTAAAATGTAGCAACACATGGGGGGAGTAGTTCCCAAGCAGGCAGTGGCTCTCCACGGAGAAGCACGTGGTGGTGATTCTGCCCGCATGGCATTCTGACATTCTGCCTTCACCACTGGGGCTTGCTACTGCCCTCCAGTGGACAGAGGCCAGGGACCAGCCAGACCCAACCACAGGCAGGACAGCTGCCCATACCCTAGGGCAGCAAGCAAACCCAGTGGCAATCACTTGGGTCGCCAAGCCCAGCTTGATCTGGCCACTCAGAGATCTCCTACCCATTGTGACTTCTGGCCCCTTCTGTCCCTTGGTGCTGCTGAAGGCTCTGGCACCTGCTGTGGCCTCTGCCAGGAACGCTCCTCCCCCTCCCCCCACTGACTTTCTGCAGGCCTTTACTGTCCCCGCCTCAGAGAGGCCTTCCCTGGCCCCCCTATCACTTCCCTCCCCATGCTTCACTTTTCCTCATGGCTCCATCATGATGAAGTGCTAGAAAATTCTCGATCTTCCTAACTAGAGTGGGACCTCTTTCCAGGCAGGGAAGCCTTTCTTTGGTTTTGGTCTCTGCCTTATTCCCAGAGCCTGTGGACATCACAGATGCTCGGCACATGCTGACTGAATGCACAGATGGGGGACGTGTCGAGGCCACTGCAGCCCAACAGCTGCCCTCCCGAGGGGACACACTGGTCCCCCAATTTCCTCCTGGGCCCCTGGCTTGGGAATGGCAGTAGTGCCTGCTGACTGAGGGTCACCATGGACCTCTGCTCACTACTCTGCGTGCAGGAACCGGGGTTCTGAGTAGGCGGTCCTGGCTGGAAGTGAAGCAGCCAGATTCCATGCAAGAGCTGGGGATCCCAGAACTGGTGGAGGCTCCGGTGACTATGGCTGCGCCCCATGGCAGTGGCAATCACAATTCCCACTTTCCTGATGAGTCCACCTCAGGACGGACACAGGGTCTGCCTACATGTGGTCACACATTTCTTACGTCATCGAAGCTGGATGTGAAACCAAGGAGAGCCCTCTGCTGCCGGGCCCAGTGTTTGGGACCACAAGGCAAAGCTACCTTGAATGACAAAACCAATCTTTGACTGACACGTCACTCTCCTGGGTCCTTTTCAAAGTAGGTGGTCCACGTGTCTCAGCCCTGGGGTGCTACTGGAGAAATGAACAACTGGCAACTGTGGGGGCAGCCAGCACAGGCCCCTCCATGCCAGGCATGAACCCTGCCAGGGATTACTTCCTGCAGCATGAGGAGGTCCAAGGTCCTGGGGAAGAGGTTGGGCTTCCTGGGGACACTTGGAGGGAGTTGGGGTAGTGGCCTCTGCCACCTGCCAGGAGGGAAATGTTTCAGGGTTTCATTGATACTGAGCTATACGTCATCCCTGCTCACCCCTTGCCTTACAGGTGAGGAGATTGAGGGTCTGACAAGGACAGGGCTCATCCAAGGTCACCCAGCCTCCTTAGGGTGTTCAACCCGAGTCCACACCCTGGAACTGTTTCAGGGCCTTCCAGCTCCACGAAGGGAGGCCCCCACAGCTTGGCCAGGGCTTTGCATGTGGCCAGAGGCCGTGGGGTGCTGGGCTGGGGGATGGGGAGGTGGGGGGCACAGGAGCACCTGTAGTCAAAGTCCCCGTCCTTGCCATCCAGGAAGCGCTGGTGCATCCGGCTGGTGAACTCTTCTCGCAGGATCAGCCTCTCCTCTGAGTCAGGGATCCAGGCCTCCGAGTCCTTGCCTGACCTCTGGTCTGCAGAAGGAGACCAGAGGGGGTGTGAATGAGGGTGCACTTGGGCAGGCACTGAACGAAGTCCACAGAGAGCTGCGGCTTCTGTGCCCAGCCTTGTGCTGGGTGGCTCTGGGAACACAGCAGTGACAGATATGGTCCTGGTCCTTGCCCTCCAGAGGCATGCAATCACATGGACCATACAGTGGCTCTGGGAACACAGCAGTGACAGATATGGTCCTGGTCCTTGCCCTCCAGAGGCATGCAATCACATGGACCATACAGTGCTCTGGAGACCGTATGGTCGGGTCAGGATGAGACCTGAAGGGTGGGAAGAGAGGCATTCCTCACAAAGGGAATGGCCTGAGCAAATACCTCTTGGTGAGGGATCATTTGGTGCCTTGGAGGAGTGGGGGGCAGGGATGCTACAGGTTTGGAAGGGCACACAGGGAGAGGGTCAGGCCGGTCAGGGGAGGGACACAATGTCGGCTTTTGCAGACTGGGGGCCAGTCTGCTGCCATAACTGGAGACAGGCAGGCCCAAGACTGGGGTGTCTGGAAACTGGGGTCTCCCTGCTACTGGCCCTCACCTTCCTCATCACTGTCCTCCTCTTCTTCCTCTTCCTCCAAGCAGGCTTCCTCCTCCTCTTGCTGTTGGAGCAGCCGCTGCTGCAGCTCCCGCTCCTCGTAGGATTGGAGCAGCAGGTTGGAGAGCGGGCAGGCGGGCCTGCCAGGGGACCCGGGCTTGGGGGCCTGGTGGGTCGGGGCGCGGGCACTGAGCTCCTCCTGGGTGAGATACTGCCCGATGTACTGCTCGTACAGCAGGGGGGCCCGGAACCGCATCTGCTCATCACTGAAGTACTCGCCCCCTGCACAGAGGAGAGACAGGGTGGGCATGGGGTGAGTGAGTGAGCAGACCTGTCCGTGTGGGTGTGCATGTGATCATGCTTGTGGGATGATGTGCATACACAGTCCAGGTGTGTGGGTGCACACACTCAGAAACACAGGAGCATATGCAGGCACCTGATGTGGGCGTGTGAGTCCTCATGTAGGTGCCCGAGGCTGTGCACACAAGAACTCATGCAGGCGCCTGAGGTCATGTGCACATGATTACTCATGCAGCCACCTGAGTGTGTGTGCACGGCCCAGCCTGTATCTTCCTGAGTATTCATGCATCCAAGCATGTGTTCGCCTAGGTAGACCTGGCTCCATCCTGGCCTCTGAGGCTCTGAAGGTCTGGAGCTGGTGTACAGCTGTGTCCAGGCACGATACACAAGCTCCTGCCCGTGGATGTGTGTATGGCCTGCATCCACATACCTCTCCGTGAGCCCCAGCATATGCCCACAGGCACCTGTCTGGCTAGGTGTCAGCATGGAGGAATGCAGCAGGTTGTATGTGCCTGTTTGTTAGGCCCCAGTCTGGCTGGCAGTGGACGCACTTGGACACACCTGCACTGTGGGGCGTGTCTCTACATACATCCACGTGGCTCTAGCACGTGTGTGCAAGGGATCAGGTCAGGTGGGGTGTCTGCCCATATGAGTATCCCTGGGAAAGCCAGGCCCTCCTGGTGGTAGAAGGCCCTAGATCCGACCTCTCCCAAATGCAACCCCTTGGGTGGATCTGGCTTCCCCACCATCCCAAAACCTGGGTTCTCTGCATGTCTCCTGGCTGCCTGTTCCTGCAGGAGCAACTCTGTCCCTCAGATAACAGTTAAACCTGACCCAGTCGCTCCCCTCCACTGGTCCTAGCCCCATCTTCAGAGCCTGGGGCCAAGAAACTGCCCAGACTCCTGGCCTCTGCAGCACCATAGGCTGTGACTGTCCCTGTCCTGCTCAGGTTCCCCACTCCTGCCAGCTCTCTTACTCTCAGCTGTTTCTGGCATCCTCCAGCATATTCAGTTTTTTGAGATGGAACCTCACTCTGATGGCCAGGCTGGAGTGTTGTGGCATCATCTTGGGTAACTGCAACCTCCACCTCCCAGGTTCAAGTGATGATTCTCCTCCCTCAGCTTCCTGAGTAGCTGAGGTTACACCCACCTGCCACAGTGCTTGGTTAATTTTTTTGTATTTTTAGAAGAGATGGGATTTCACTATATTGGCCAGGCTGGTCTCAAACTCCTGATCTCAAGTGATCCACCTGCCTCGACCTCCCAAAGTGCTGGGATTACAGGAATGAGCCACAGTGCCCAGCCTCTAGCAGATTGAGTTTCTATCCCTCCTTCTCCCTAACCTGGATTATCACCCACCCCGGCTCTGGGTCTCTCTCCAACTCTCCCTTTATCGCCATCTTTCTATCTTTCCTGCTTTTCTCAGTTTCTGTCACCTATCCCCACCTCATTCAATCATTCATCTTCCTTTTTTTTTTTTTTGGTAACCTCTCCCTCCCAGATTCATGCGATTCTTCTGCCTCAGCCTCCTGAGTAGTTGAAATTACAGGTGCCTGCCACCATGCCTGGCTAATTTGTTTGCATTTTTAGTAGAGACGCGGTTTCACCATGTTGACCAGGCTGCTCTGGATCTCCCGCCCTCAGGTGATCTGCTCTCTTTGGCCTCCCAAAGTGCTGGGATTATAGGCCTGAGCCACCACACCCAACCCATCTTTCACCTTTTTTTTTTTTTTTTTTTTTGCTTTTGAGACAAGGTCTGGCTCTGTGGCCTAGGCTAGAGCTTAGTGGTGGGATCTCAGCTCACTAAAACTTCTACCTTCCAGGCTCAAGCAATTCTTATACCTCAGCCTCCTGAGTAGCTAAGACTACAGGTGTGCACCACCACACCTGGCTAATTTTTGTATTTTTTGTAAACACTGGGTTTCACCATGTTGCCCAGGCTGGTCTTGTACTCCCAAGTTCAAGAAATCTGCCCACCTTGGCATCCCAAAGTGTTGGGATTACAGGCATGAGCCACCAGACCCAGTCTCTCACTCGTTCTCTATGAATCTCTCTGTAACATGTGCCTTCTCCCTAACAATTTAACTTACTCTCTGCTTCATTCTCATCTTTTAACTTTGGTTCTGGTGTCGTGGTCACAAGGATGCTTTTAATTATGTCATGGTAAAAAAACTATCAATGATTTTTTTCCTTCATGGTTTTCAGAGGGTGTCTCAAGGTCATGTACAAATTTCTTCTGGTTTCCTCTGATGCCTTTGTATATGGTGTAAGGTAGGGATCTCATGTTTTCTTCCTTAGGTAGAACCAATTATCACAGCACTGTGTACTTACTGATCTGAAATGCCACTTCTGTCATCTACTAAATTATGATCTATTCTCACTGCCTGTCCCATTCTCTTCCCCTAGACCTGTCTATCTCTCCCCTTTACTTTGCATTTCTGTCTCAGTCTCTTCCTGTGTCCCTGTCTCTGTTTCAAAACTTCTCTCAGGATTTCTATCTCTGTGTTTCTGTTCTTGCATTCTTTTTTCTAATTCCCTCTGCCTCAGTCTCCCCTCCTTCCCCATCTGTGCCACTCTCACCCATCTGGCCCCCACACCTTGGATCAGCTCTCGCAGGGCAGCATAGCGCCGGTTACGGAGGCGGGTACGCAGGGTGCGGGGTCGGGCAGTGCCCTGCTGGGCCACCTCAGCACAGTAGAAGTCTGCACGGTGGTCACCACGCACGTGACCAAAGCAGGCCAGGTGCTCCTCACGGAGGCCTGTGCGGAAGCGCTCCAGGAACACCAGTGGCTTCTCATGATACAGCTGGGCTAGGATGGCTACTTTCTCACGCTCTGTCAGGTCGGGTTCACCCTGCTGCTGGCTGCACACAGGCAAGCGGCTGGCAGCCACAGCATGCAGCATGGCACTCACTGCTGCATTTTCAGCCGTGGAGGTGTCACTGTCCAGGGTCACTGGCATTGCCTCAACTGCTTCCACTTTGTCCTGGGGTTTAGATGGGACTGGTGTCCGGATTAGCTCACCCCAGTGTCCAGGTCTAGGCTCCATGCAGCCTGAGGAAAGGGGAGATTTGTTAGTTCAGAGATGGGTGTGTAGGAAGGGACTGGGTGCTTAGTCACTGAGCTCACATTTACTGGGTACCTACTATATTCTGGGCACTGTTCTGGGCACTAGAGAAACCACAATGAGCAAACGTTGACATTTTAGTAGGGGACGCAATTAGCAACATAATTACTGAAAACAATATGTGTTCTGTGTTTCCTGGAGTTATGTGGAAAAATAAAGAGGGAAGGAGGAGGGAAGAAGGTGGAGGAGGCTGTAATTTTATTTTATTTTATTTTATTTTCAAGACAGGGTCTTGCTCTGTCACCCAGGCTGGAGTGCAGTGGTGCAATCACATCTCACTGCAGCCTTGACCTCCTGGGCTTGAGAGATCCTCCCATCTCAGCCTCCCATGTAGCTAGGACCACCATGCCCGGCTAATTTTTCAACTTTTTGTAGAGACAGGATAATGTCATGTTACTCAGGCTGGTCTTAAACTCCTGGGCTCCAGCAATCCTCCTGCCTTGGCCTCCCAAAGTGCTGGGGATTAAAGGCGTAAGCCACTGTGACTGGCCTATTTTTATTTTTATTTTTAGAGACAGGGTCTCGTTTCATTGCCAGGCTGAAGTGCAATGGTGCAACTGTGATTCACTGTAACCTTGAACTCCTGGGCTCAAGCAATCCTCCCACCTCAGCCTTCTGAGTAGCCAGGACTACAGGCCTACACTACCATATTTCAGTTAATCTTTAAGTTTTTTGTTTTTTGTTTTTTTTTAAGATGGGGTTTCACCATGATGGCCAGGCTGGTCTTGAACTCCTGACCTCAAGTGATCCACCCACCTTGGCCTCCCAAAGTGCTAGGATTACAGGTGTGAGCCACTGCGCCAGGCCAAGTTTTTTTTTTTTTTAAAGTTTCAGTAGAGACAAGGTTTCACTAGGTTGCCCAAGGCTGGTCTCAAACTCCTGAGCTCAGGCGATCCTCCCATCTTGGCCTTCCAAAGTGCTCTAATTACAGGCACATGCCAATGGACCCCACCTAATTTTAAATTTTTTGGTAGAGACAGGGTCTTGCTGTGTTGCCCGGGCTGGTTTTGAACTCCTGGCCTCAAATGATCCTCCTGCCTCAGCCTTCCAAAGTGCTGAGATTACAGCATAAGCAACCATGCCTGGCTAAGGCTGCAATTTTAAATGCAAGACTCAGAGAAAGCTTTGACAAAAAAGTGGCATTTGAGTAGAGACCTGAGGTGGTGAGGGATTAAAGCCATGAGATCTCTTGGAAAAGAGAATTCCAGGCAGAGGAAACAACTACTGCAAAGGCCCTGAGGCCTGACTTATTGATCCAGTCAATTCTTTTTTTTTTTTTTTGAGACGGAGTTTTGCTCTTGTTACCCAGGCTGGAGTGCAATGGCGCGATCTCGGCTCACCGCAACCTCCGCCTCCTGGGTTCAGGCAATTCTCCTGCCTCAGCCTCCTGAGTAGCTGGGATTACAGGCACGCGCCACCATGCCCAACTAATTTTTTTTTTGTATTTTTAGTAGAGACGGGGTTTCACCATATTGACCAGGATGGTCTCGATCTCTTGACCTTGTGATCCACCCGCCTCGGCCTCCCAAAGTGCTGGGATTACAGGCTTGAGCCACCGCGCCCAGCACACTTCTTTTTTTTTTTTAAGATGGGGTTTCACCATGTTGGTCAGGCTGGTCTTAAACTCCCGACGTCAGGTGATCCTCCCACCTTGGCCTCCAAAGTGCTTGGATTATACCCGTGAGCCACCACGCCCGGCCGATCCAGTCAATTCTTTAAATCATTAATACATTCGCTAATTTGCTTACTCATTCATTTACACTCTCAGGCATCCATGCTTTCACTCAACCACTCTTTAGTAACTCTAAATCTCTGAGAGGCCCTATGTCAGGCAATGCTGAGTATCCACGGGATGAATCCAGACCAGCTCATGCCATCAGGAGGTATCCAGTCTGATGTGGGATACAGTCAGGATCAAAGATAATACAGGCAAAGAAAACAGGAAAGCTGACTGGGCACTGTGGCTCATGCCTGTAACCCTGTACTTTGGGAAACTGAGGTGAGCAGATCACTTGATGCCTCAAATTCAAGACCAGCCTGGCCAACATGGTGAAACTCCGTCTCTACTAAAAATACAAAAATCGGCTGGGCATAGTGGTGGGCATCTGTAATCCATGCTACTCGGGAGGGTGAGGCACAAGAATCACTTGAACCCAGATGGCGGAAGTCGCAGTGAGCTGAGATTAGCCATTGTCCTCCAGCCTGGGTGACAGAGCGAAGACTATCTCAAAAAAAAAAAAAAAAAAAAAAAAAGGAAAAGAAAACAGGAAAGCTGAGTGCTTGGCAAACTGTGCTGAGAGCTGTTTCCCAAGAATGGAGGGAGCAGGCTTACAGCAGGTAGGAAATACGTGAAGACAGAGTAGAGAGACAACTCCTTTAGGTGGTGTGGCTGGGTTGGGGAGGAGAGAAGGAGTGACATTACATGTGTAGTGTATATCAGGGAGGATTTCAATCATTAACGCAGCTGAAGACTGAAATGGACAAGGGCAGGGGCTGTGGAGGAAGGAACAGGATCACGAGTGAGTGAATTAGAAAGCGGTCAAGAGGCTGAGTGGAGGAACCACGAGGCTGATGTGCGGGGAGGTAAAGGAGGCATCCAGGGTGAGTTCCCAGGCTCTGGCCTCGGGAATGGTCTGAGTGCTGCTACACGGGCCTCCAGACTCCTCAGGAGAGAAGTGCTGGGCTGGAAACAGCTGTGGGTGTCATCAGAGTGAAGACAAGAGCCAGCTGGGAGCGGTGGCTCACGCCTGTAATCCCAGCACTTTGGGAGGCTCAGGCGGGTGGGTCATGAGCTTGGCCAACATAGTGAAACCCCATCTCTACTAGAAATACAAAAATTAGCCGGGCATGGTGGCACATGCCTGAAGTCCCAGCTACTCAGGAGGCTGAGGCAGGAGAATCGATTGAACCCAGGAGGCAGAGGTTGTGGTGAGCCGAGATTGCGCCACTGCAATCCAGCCTGGGCAACAGAGCAAGACTCTGTCAAAAAAAAAAAAAAAAAAAAAAAAAAAAAAGACAAAAGCCAAAGCCAAGTGAAATGAGAGAGGTAAGGGTCGGGGAGGGCAGGGGGTAGTGAGAGAGGGACGAGAAGAGGGTCCAGGAAAAAGCACTGCACAGATGTGGAGAGGAATGCCTCTGGAGCTAAAAACCGGCTGTCCAAAAGGTAGCTACGTCTTAATCACAGGAACCCATTACTGTTACCTTAAATGAAAAAAATTAAAAGAGGCTGGTCGCAATGGCTCACCCCTATAATCCTAGCACTTTGGGAGGCCAAGGTGGGTGGATCCCTTGAGGTCAGGAGCTCAAGACCAGCCTGGCCAACATGGCGAAACCCCATCTTTACCAAAAATACAAAAAATTAGTTGAGTGTGGTAGCGCATGCCTGTAATCCCAGCTACTCAGGAGGCTGAGGCAGGAGAACTGCTTGAACCCTGGAGTTGGAGGCTGCAGTGAGCCAAGATTGCACCACTGCACTCCTTCCAGCCTGGGCAACAAGAGCAAAACTTCAAAAAAAAGCAAACAGTTCTCTCCCAGAGCCTGTGGGGAAACACAACACTGCAGACACCTGGATTTCAGCTCAGCCACACTGACTTCAGACCTCTGGCCTAGAGAACTATGAGAGAACAAAGTTCTGTTGCTTGAGGCCATGCAGTCTGTGGTCCTTTGTTACAGCACCTCTGGGAAACAAAGTCAGAGGCTGAGAAGGAACAGCCCAAGAGGCAGGAAATAAGGCACTGTGGTGCCGCAGAAGCCAAAGGATAGTGTGTAAGAAGGAAGGGTCAACAGCATTTAATTCTACTCCAGACTAGTAAGAAAAAAACCTGAATGGGCAAGGTGTGGTGGCTCACATCTGTAATCCCAGCACTCTGGGAGGCTGAGGTGGGAAGATTTCTTGAGGTCAGAAGTTTGAGACCAGCCTGGCCAATATGGTGCAACCCCCATCTCTACTAAAAACACAAAAACTTAGCCAGGCATGGTAGTGGGTGCCTGTAATCCCAGCTACTTGGGAAGCTGAGGCATGGGAATCACTTGAACCTGGAAGATTGCGCCACTGCACTCCAGCCTGGGCAACAGAGCGAGACTCTCTCAGAAAAAAACAAAAAAAACCTGAATGGGGTGACTGGATTGAACAACATGGGGGAAGTCAGTGGGGATCCTAATCAGAGCAGTTTCTTAGGGTAAAAGTCAGACAGTGGCAGGCAGGAGGTAAGGTAACGGAGACTAAGTATGACTCTCTGGAGGAGACAGATGGGGCCAAGAGATAGATTTTTTCTTTTTCTTTTTCTGAAACAGGGTGTTGTTGTGTTGCCCAGGCTGGAATGTGATGGCGCAAATGCAGCTCACTGCAGACTCAACCTCCTGGGCTCAAGTGATATTCCCATCTCAGCTTCCTGAGTAGCTAGGACCACCGGAATGCACCTCCACACCTGGCTTTTTTTTTTTTTTTTTTTTGAGACAGTTTCACTGTGTCACCCAGGCTGGAGTGCAGTGGTGTGATCTCTGCTCACTGCAATCCACCTCCTGGGTTCAAATGATTCTGGTTGGTACCTCAGCCTTCCAGGTAGCTGGGATTACAGGCACATGTCATGATGCCTGGCTAATTTTTCTATTTTTAGTAAAGATGGGTTTCACTATGTTAGCTAGGCTGGTCTCCAACTCCTGAGCTCAGGTGATCTGCCCACCTCAGCCTCCCAAAGTGCTGGGATTACAGGCATGAGCCACTGCACCAGGCCTTAATTTTTAAATTTTTTGTAGCCGGGCGCGGTGGCTCAAGCCTGTAATCCCAGCACTTTGGGAGGCCGAGGCGGGTGGATCCCGAGGTCGAGAGATCGAGACCATCCTGGTCAACATGGTGAAACCCCGTCTCTACTAGAAGTGCAAAAAATTAGCTGGGCATGGTGGCACGTGCCTGTAATCCCAGCTACTCAGGAGGCTGAGGCAGGAGAATTGCCTGAGCCCAGGAAGCGGAGGTTGCGGTGAGCCGAGATCGCGCCATTGCACTCCAGCCTGGGTAACAAGGGTGAAACTCCATCTCAACAAAAAAAAAAAAAATTTTTTTTTTGTAAAGATGGGGTCTCGTTATGTTGCCAGTGCTGGTCTCAAACTCCTGGGCTCAGGTCTCACTCTTGCAGAGACTGTAGTGCAGTGGTGTAATAATCTTAGCTCCCTGAAATGTGAAAGGGTTTGAGTGATACTCCCACCTTAGTCTCCCGAGTAGCTTGCCCTAGCTACTCCCTAGCCACCACGCCTGGCTAATTTTTAAATTTTTGTAGATACTGGGTTTCTCTATGATGCCCACGCTGGTCTCAAAACTCCTGCGCTCAAGCAACCCTTCTGCCTTGGCCTCTCAAAGTGTTGGGATTGTAAGTGGAAGCCATTGCACCCGACCTTAGATTTTTTTTTTTTTAGGTTAAATTTTTTTATGTTTAGAAAATTTCAAACATACACAAAAGTAGAAAATACAACGACACCTCTCCCTCCACCTCCATATACCCATCATCTCCATCTGGTTTCCACAATTACTAATTCTTGGCCAGCAGCGTTTGAGCCAGCCTTCCAACCACACTTCACCCCACATCGGATTATTTTGAGGGTTGGGGGGAAGTACAGAAACTGAGTAAACACTCTGAAAGGAGCCTGGCTGGATTTCGGACTTTGGGGGTAAGAGGACTTACAATGAAATGAGGGAATCGTTAGATTGGGATAAGTCAAGTTTGCATCAGGCAGGCAGAAGTTTAGCCTGGAGAGGTAGGAGGCAAAAGTACCTCTTCGGCTGGGGCAAGGGAAGGCTCAGCTTGGCATAGGGAAGGAGGTAATTTGAGAAGAGCTGGTCTGGGGCAATGTGGGAATTGGGCCGGGCAGAGGAGAGGTTTCTGTTAACTCCAGAGTTAGCCTCGTAAGGAGATAAGTTAGGGACATGGAAAGTGTTGGTCTGGAACCGGGAAGAGGTTAATTTCGGGGGAAAGGAATGGAGGAAAAGGAGGTCAGCCTGCGACAAGGGAGAGGATAATCTGGGCAAAGTGGTGAAGAGGACCGGTAAGGAGGAGGGGGACGAGTGTCCCCCTAAAACGAGTCCTCCTTCGCGTTCCTGGGGGAATCATTTCCTAGAGACACCGCAGCCGCACCCAACTGCCGCCTCCGCATGACCAAGATCTCACCCTCATCGGGTTCCTTCGTCGCCGCCGCCGCCGCCGCCGCCACCCCTGGGGTCGCCATGGCCTCCATCTTGATTCTCTCAGACTTGCGAACCGCCCGGGTGGGTGCGCACAACAACCTTACGCCCACGCACGCAAGAGACACTTCCGCCTGAGACTGCTCCGGGTCCGGGTGCACCGCTCCGCCCGGGTACCAAAGTTCCGGGACTAAGGCAGACGTTGCACTGCGCATGCGTGCCTCTTTGGGTCCCTGCCGCTCTCCTCCAGGGAGGAAAGAGGCTCCCGGGTGAGGGGCCCTTAAACCTCTGTTACTAGTAGGAACCAGAACCATTGTTCGTTTTTTCACCGCTGTGACTCTGGCTCCAAGCGTGCTTAATTTTGGGATGGATGGTTAAAGGACTGTCCCCCGGAGCCTGGAGCTGTCATACTCTTGAGGGTGGGTTCGTGCTCTAGTTTAGACCTCCGCCTGTCCTTTTCCTTTCTCCACCCCTTCAGGAATCCAGGAATATTTACTAAGGCTTGACTTTTTTATTTGTTTATTTTTTTTGGGTCAGGGTCTCGCTCTGTTTCCCAGACGAGTGCAGTGGCGCGATCATAGCTCACTGTAACCTCACATTCCTGTGCTAAAGTGATCCTCCTGCCTCAGCCTTCGGAGTAGTTGGGACTACAGGAGCGCACCACCGCGCTTGGTTAATTAAAATTTTTGTAGCGCCAGGGGTACCACTTCGTTGCCCAGGCTGTTCTCTAAGTCCTGGCCTTAGGGCAGTCCTCCCGCTTCAGCCTCTCAAAAGTACTGGGATTACAAGGGGAGAGCCACAAGACTGGCTTACTTCTGTCATCATACCCTGTCACTGGCTGGCATGAGATGGGTGATGAGGTAGAACTTCCCATTTTGTGTTCCCAGGACCTGGAGGAAATCTGCAGGTGCTAAACACCACAATTGTGGTCCTGAGTTCCCCATGGGATGGGTAGGGGCTCTATTTAGGCATTACCGGCAGAGTAGACAGACATGCCACCAGTAACCACTCAGTGGCCAGGGCTTTTCCTTTCTTTTCTTTTTGAAAAGTAGTTTTGCTCTTATTGCCCAGGCTGGAGTGCAATGGCGCGAACTCGGCTCATCACTGCCTCCCAGGTTCGAGTGATTCTCCTGCCTCAGCCTCCCGAGTAGCTGGGATTACAGGAACGCACCACCATGCCCGGCTAATTTTGTATTTTTAGTAGACAGGATTTCTCCATGTTGGCCAGGCTGGTCTTGAGTTCCCGACCTCAGGTGATCCGCCAACTTCAGCCTCCCAAAGTGCTGGGATTACAGGCGTGAGCCACTGTGCCCGGTCTGAACCTCATGATTTTTATGCAAAATTCCATGTGCTTCTGCATTCTCCAATGCAGAGGTTCATGGCATTTGTGGGTTCCAAAAGGGATTTATGGCTCCTCAGAACAAAATAACCACTGATGTAATATACAAAGAGGGAGCAGAAAGAGATGGAGCCAGTGAGGTTACAGGTGCTAGGTCATGTGGGGCCTCATAAGCCATAGTAAGTAGCTTGACCTCCTTTATTCTGAAGGGAGTGGGCAAGGGGATCAAGGGACTTGGGATGAGATGTTAGAGGAAGTCGGTGGCTCAAAACAGGAAGAACTTCCTCATTTGCATTCCCTTGAGGTCTGGGTATATGGAAGCCAAGGAGGTCCCCATTTACCACCCAATACCTAGGCATTACCAGGTGACGCCAGCAGAGGGTGCTGTAGCATAGCACATGGACATGCAGAGAAGGGGACTTTCCAGACTAAGGGCCCTGCTCCCTCCTGTCCGGGGCACTCTAGGGTCCCTTTTGGCACCAGCCTTCATTCCTTCTCACATTCTGATGCCCTACCGAAGATTCTGAAACTAGTCAGCTTCTCTCCCTTGTTTTTGCTGCCCATCTCCCCTTCGCAAGGCTCTGAGCTCCCACCAGGGAAGGTTGGGGCTGACCTGGCTTCTCCTGTGGTCCAGCACTGTCCCTCATAAGGAGCCAGGAACACAGCATGTACTGAGGGAATGAAGAAATAAGGTTGCTAAGGATGAAGAACAATGGGCCATGGGGGTGCAATCTGGAGTCTTCTCCTGGCTCACTCCTCCAGGAAGCCCTCCCTGCATACCACCCCAGGCTCTCACAGCTGACCTCTTGGTGCTGGCAGGTCTGTGTTCCCTGGAGTCGCAGCTCCGTGAGAACTGGGTCCAGGACTACCAAAGAACACAGCAGGTGCCTCACTGGCTGAAACATGAAGCTCCCAGAATCCCCATGAGTCTCCACCACAGGAGGAAGGAAGGGTCCTATTTGCTGCACACAGGCCAGGCCTGAGGCAGGTGGTCTGCAGATGCCCAGTGATGATCCCTGGTCTCTGCCCCATCAGCCCCACCCATCCCTCCACCCACAGGCCTCCTCCACACTTTTTACTCAAAAACTCCTGGAGGGATTTCAGACTGTGAGAGATGGGGAACCAGAGAACCACTTTAAAAATGAACTAGTGGATATAAACCAGGGACCCTTGTTTAAGGGTGCATTTTTAGCACGAAAATCAGGGCCAGGCATATGAATCCCTCAGTAAGCTGGTTTAATGAATGAGTAAATAATTTCCCTTTGAAAAGGCCCCCCAAATGGCGGCTAACTGCAGTAACACCTCAGGGTTTCAACCCTGCTTCCTTCCTGCTAGAAGGTGCCATGTCATTTATTCAAAGAAAACAAAACCAAACCAAACAAAACAGGGCAAACACATTTCTTAGTAAGTGCAGTTTGTTAAAATCCTGTTAAAACATGAGTCAAGGGGAAGTAAAAAGAAAGGGTATCACTGTAGGAAAACCTTTTGGGTCTGGCACCTGGGAGATGACTGGAGAGGAGGCAGTGGGAGAAACTTCAAGTTCTGAAGGGAAGGAGCCCCCCAACCTCCCCTTCTTCCCTCTCACCCACTGAATCCCACCAGAAACTACCAAGACGCCCGGAATAAAAGGTTTCAAGTTCAATAGTCACACTCTCTCCAAATACAAAAAGCAGTTACAATTCAACTGAACACAGAAGCTTGTGTGCAAAGTTACGGGGAACTGGGATGTCGTATAAAAAGTCAGGTTCAAGATCATTCTGTGGTTTGGTTTTATGTGTTTTGTTTTGTGGCTCTTCCTCAGTCACCTGAACTCAGGAAAGAAATGCTTATCTTGATGAAATATCAATAGCCGACCCACAGTAAAAACAGACAAATTCTAAAAATTAAAAAAAAGCGCATAATTACCAAAAAAATATGTCACTGCTTCCTCCCTCCCCATTTTGCTTTTTAAACTTTTTTTTTTTTTTAAGTTTTTGATTTTTTTTTTTTTTTTTTAATCCTGAAAAGTAGACAGTAAAACAGCTCCTGGGAGAATTTACAACCAACTGCATGAGGGTCTGGGAAGCTGAGGGTGGAGCAGGGTTGGGAGAGTGAATGGGAAGGGCTTCTCCCCTCAGTCACTGTAGCCTCACTGTATGACCAAGGGAAGGGGGGATTATTTAGTCAAAAAGGAAGAAGGTAGGAAGAACTTCAGAAGGTGGAAGGTAGGGGAGGGGGGAAAATGAAAGGTCATTGTTGCCTGTTTGAATCCAGAGAAAACTGCCTGGCCCTGTGGAGGGGAAGAAGCCCCTCAGAGGGGAGGCAGTGGCCTGGAGGGAGGCAGCCCTGGGATGACCCCATCCCCAGCACCACGGGATCTGGCAGGGGCAGAGGAGGGGCTGAGGCAGGCGCTGGTGGAGGAAGCCGGCAGGGGCCTCCGGGAGCCTCTGGGTCACACTGGCTACTGTGTGCTTGTGCCACCCTGTGTGTTCCCAGAGTAGCTCCCGTAGTCATAGTTCCCGTAGTACGGTGGCCACTGGCCCTGGTTCTGATAGTACTGGTTCCACTGCTGGGCATACTGCGGAGAGAAACCAAGAACACCAAGTTATCCTGCATCGACCCCACATGTAGCTTTCCCAGCAGTCCCGCCCTCACCTAGGACAGAGATAGGTGCTGTGACAACAGCTGAACACAGGTCCCCTGACAGAGAAATCAAGGCATCTTGGGAAGACCTGATGCCACAGAGGTAGGCAGTTAGGGGCTGAAGCCCAGGTTTCAGCTTGTCAACCCAGTGCCTTTTGGGTACACCTAGATATCATATTCAAAAGATTTAGTAACAGGTATAGATAGGGGCCTGGGCAGCAACCGGCAGCAGGATTTGGAGCCCCCTGGCCATGGTGCTGAAAGAGGACTCTGAGGCCCCTGCACTGTGGAGGGGGCTAGGACACCAATTACCTAGCACCCAGTACAGAAGTACTGACCCAAAGGAACGGCTGCACCAGAACACTAGGCCAAGGCCAGCAGGCTGTCTTTTTAGGGATAAACAGGGAATCCAGTCTGGAAATACACATCCAGGAGGGGCCCATGGAAGTCTCTTCAGCCAGTTGGCCCCCAGTCTGGCACCTACCTGCTGATACTGGTTATAGCTGGGCTGAGGGTAGGTCTGTGCAGTGGGGGGTGGTGGTGGGGTATAGGGGGCGGGGTTGTAACCGCCGTAGCTCCCATAGTTGTAGGCAGGTGGTGGTGGAGGTGGAGGCGGTGGGGCTGTGTAGCCCTGGCTGTAACCTCCCTGGTTGTAGGGTGGCTGGCTGTAACTCGGCTGGAAAGTGGAGGGAAAAAAGCCAAAGCTCTGTGAAATAGAGGAAATCTGCAGATGTGAAATGCTGGGATGGAAAAAGGGCCTTTGTTAAGTGGTTGGCCCACAGGGGCCCTTCCCTTGCCTGGTGGGCACTGTTTGTGGGCTGAGGTGGTGAGCCAGCTCCATGCCATGTCTGGACAGGGCAGGATCTGGACTCCAACCCCAGCTCTGAGGTGATCTGGACTCCAGCCCCAGCTCTGACGCACCCGGGGAGCAAGGTACATGGCACTTCTTGAAATCCCAGTTTTCTTTTTTGTAAAATGAGAATCACAATAGAACAGCCCCTTTAGCTTCCCCTGAGTATTCAATAAGCTTGCATGTATAAATCACTGGGCACTCAACAGGTGGTGGTAGTTGTTACCGGAAGATCTGCTGAGAAACAGTAGTGCTTCTCAAGTGCAGGTTGGATCATTTACTCATTTTTGTTTGTTTTTTGTTGTTTGTTTGTTTTTTTTTTTGAGACGGAGTATCGCTCGTTACCCAGGCTGGAGTGCAATGGCGCGATCTCGGCTCACCGCA